ACAAGAATTTGAGTAAAATTATAGTTATATATCATTACTGCTCGAAATCCTAATCATATTTTTCGGTTATTACTTATTATTAAATCGAGCAATGATGAGATAGTACACGCGAGAATGTTCCTCGTGTCACTTATTGTGAATATTGAATTGCTAATCGAAACCAGCCGCTCATGAGGTCGAGTCGAGTTCAACTCAACTCGTTTGATGATCGAGCCGAGCTCGAACTCGTTAAAAGCTAGTTTAGTTAAGGAGTTGAGGTCGACTAGGCTAGGCTCATTAAGACTAGAAAATAAGAATTTATATATATTTTTGGCTTGTTAAGACCTCATCCGCGAGCTCGACTTGCTAATATTAATAAACAAGACGAGCTTAAAGCTCGAGTTCAACTCGTGCCACTTTGTTTACAAACCCATATATTACCTAGTTTCGCGAGGAAAATAAAGTTCTTATCGATTCAATTGGTCAGCAAACACCTAACAATAGACCTTCCCGCACCAGATCAACTCCAACCCAGGTAATAGCTGTTGCTACTTGTTAGTAGCTCAACACACTTGAAAAATCCCCAAATCGATTTTGGAACCCTAATTTCAATTCGAAAAAACTTATTGAATTACCCCACTTTTCTTCTTCCTCCATAGTCCTAACGCAGAATGCCTCCGAAGAACGGAGCTGAACAAGCGGATGCTAGCGGCTCAGTGTCAAAATCGCAGCGGCCGAAAATAATTAAACCTTCGGATGAAAATGAAAGAAAGGCGAGTCTTTTGTTTCTTTAATCTTTGTATTATTGCATCAAATTATCTAAGTTACTAAGGTCGAATAAAACTTTTTTCATGTTAATGTAGAGTTCAGCTAAGAAGCTTAAAGATTCAGAAATTTGTATCCCCATCGTGTATGGCAACATTGCATTTTGGCTTGGCAAGAAGGCGAGCGAGTGAGTATTTGTTTGGTTTTTTTTTTTCTTTTTTTTTTTATTCTGTTCATTTTCTGAGCCCATCAAGTGCTCGATGAAATGCTTGTTTACGTTTTCCTTCATTGGTAACGGTGCATTTTGGCTTGGCAAGAAGGCAAGCGATTGAGTATTTTTTTGTTTTTCATTCTTATTCTGTTCATTTTCTGTGCCCATCAAGTGCTCGATGAAATGCTTGTTTAGGTTTTCTTTCATTTGCGGTTTTGGTTTTTCTATGGCTGCAGGTACCAGTCGCACAAATGGACGGTTTATGTACGTGGAGCAACGAACGAGGACCTGGGAGTAGCTGTAAAGCGAGCTGTTTTCCAGCTGCATTCGAGCTTCAATAACCCCACAAGGGTCGTTGATAACCCACCCTTTGAGGTATCGGAGTCTGGGTGGGGCGAGTTCGAAATAGCCATTACCCTTCATTTTCACAGTGATATTACAGATAAACCATTGCACTTGTGAGTTGTGTGTACTTTATATGTGTGGTTTGTACCCAAGTATGTGACTTTTTTTTTTTGTGGGTATGTAGTTTGCGCTTAGTTTGTATTTATGCTTTCTAGGCATGACATGTTTTACAGGTTCCACCACTTGAAGTTATATCCCGAGGAGGATTCAGGCCCGCTGTCTACCAAGAAACCAGTTGTTGTGGAGTCTTATGATGAGATTGTTCTCTCGGAACCTTCTGAGGCTTTCTTTGCCCGTGTTCAAAATCATCCTGCGGTTATTGTGCCTAGATTGCCCTTGGGCTTCACTCTGCCTCCTGGTGCGGTTTGATTCATCCGTTCGTTTTGGGTTGTTTTAGGCTTTCGCTGTTTAATGTACTTCATGGTGTTTTCTTATGTGTGTGTGTGTGTGTGTGTGTGTTTTACAATGCTTGGGTGATGATATTCTGTATATGTGTTCTAGCTGAGGATCTTGAGAGCAAGAACAAAGGTGACACTAAAGATCATCCCCTCAACCAGTGGTTTACTAATTTCTCTGAAGCAGATGAGCTATTGAAACTTGCTGCTGCTCGGCAACAGGTCAATTTTACGTACTCATTTTGGTATTTCTAATGTTGATATATTATAAATTTCCTGTGAAATATTATGGCAGCATTGCTCTTCCGTAATAGCTGAAGGACTGGGGAAAAAAAAGAGAGGGAGAAAAGAAAAGCCATTTTCTTAAAAAAAAATGTTAATTGACAAAGTGATATCTTCTGAGTTACTTTTTGTGCTACTTTTTAGTTCCCTTCGAGTTATGTCATTAATGATATTGAATTAGTATTTATGAAGTTGGCTTGCTGATCAGAAATGCCCAATCTTTACTGAAATTTTCTTCAGAAAAATGGAAAAAATTATGATATATAGCTATGAAGATTTCTTTTATCTAAAGTATATACATTTGTATTGGATTTTTTTCGCTCCACAAACTCTTGTTTGGCAAGCGAGAACTGTGAACAAAAAAAAAAAAAAATGTATATGCATGATTTTGACCAGCACAACTCGTGAAGTAGTAATACGATATGTGTACCTTCCACGATCACTCTTATCAACTATGAAAAACTTTTTCAATGTATAATATCAAGATACAAAAAAAAAAGATATGTGTCTTATCGTGATTAGTTTCCATTTCCCTTCATGAGTTAATAATTTGATGTTTAGACCATCGTTTGGTTCAAATGTCAAAACCCCTAAGAACTCTTGATTATTCTCCTAAACATCTTCTTAACTATGTGAAACTACAGTTTTGAGCATCA